AAAAGCACATATCTTGTCAATCAAAACAATCAAGTCACTCATTAATGTTTATCTATTTATATATATGGTAAACAATTCATACTCACATACTTAAAAGTAAATAGCCAAAGTTGTCTAACATGGGTTCCGGGTGAATTTGGTTAATTAGATCAATTAGCCATAATATGCTTTGAGGGAATACTTAGATTAAGAATAATAATACAATTTATCATTATTCAAACATGGTAAGTAAACATGTGACCTGAAAATTGTTACCACAAACAAAAGACGGATAGTTTAGAAGTGGGCATCCATATTTGATTTACTATATTTTCAAAATTCGATTTAAATAATTGGGTAATAGATAATATAAAGTAAATACTAAATACCAAATTAGATCAAATCAAACTTTACTACGATAAATCTCGGTTTGATTCAATAATTCTATTTTGAGCGATATATTAAAAACATTTCTAAATTTGGCATAGATTATTAGTTTCATCTTCGATAATTGACAATCTTAAAAATACTCATTTTCTTGATTAACTGAACTCAAATACATTCCGAATCTTGCCATATGGATGAAATACATCCCTTGATTCTCGTCAAGTTTAAGGTTATTTTCAACACTAGCTTCACTCGGCTTTTTATTAAGAGGACTCCCACGCTCCTACATCAATTTGAATCCACTTATTATGCCATGCATAAGGCAAATTATGGGTGTATAATTGAAGTTATGTTAGTCAAGTAAGAAGAATATTATTAATACTGTTAATAATTTAAAGATGAAACAAATAATTCACGTCAAGATCACGGGTGTTTTCGGTACTTATGTTAATGATTATGCCTACGTCTAATCACATAGACTAGTTTTTTGGGGGATAGATAGTAATTGAACCTTTTCCTAAATAGAGCTACCCACCCATTTTTAATCTCTCTGGAGATTAGATTAGATAGAGTGGACAAGTGGGTAAGAGCACTAATATATGGGTGGAGCTAGCATATGATAAAAATTGTGAACAAGAAATTAAACACTTTGTATATCGTGAAATATATCGAACTAAATGCTGGCATAATAATAGTAATGCTATTAATACCATTTTGTTTAGATTTGGCCTACAAGATAGGATTACGACAAGATTATATAAGATACTAGGCTATAAAAAAACAGCTCTTTTTTGTACTAAGAGAGATCATGTGTAACACGCAATAAGTAGTGTACAAGTTTGGCAAAATCAGACCACTCAAAAAAGTAGTATGTCAACAGTCAACACACACAACAATGCTTCACCAAAGGAAGTTATGACTCTTAAAAAAAGGGCAGGAATCATGCACTAGTGTGCCCACTTCTGTTTTCAACCACGTCCCGATACATTCTGTGATAATTTATGGAGAATTTATAAAAATCATGTGTTTTTGACTTCAATACATCGTGATACACTGGAAATTTTAAAATTATTTACATGATTTTGACAAGGTGGAACTAGTTGGAGTCAGGATTAAGAGTTTGGGGTTCTAAATTTTCTTTAGAATTATCAATTAATTTTGTTAGGAATTTACAAATTAATATACATATATATTTAATTAATTTTTTAGTATAGATACAAGGTCTACGGAAAAGCTAATGAGTTCGTATGAACCTATGACCCCTCACCTAGCTCCGCTTCTGAAGTTAAATATGAGATACAAGTCCATGCCTGAGCTCATAATAATTTCAAGGTGTTGGAGATTGTTGGAGCCATATAGGGACAAGGAGATTAATATATGTATCGTGTTCATTGACTTGAAAAGGCTTATAATAAAGTTTCTAGGTAGGTGCACCCAAGAGTGTGTCTTAGTGATCAATAAAGTGACGAGTTGAACGCACACCACTAGGTTTCAGGTTCTATTTTCAATAAAAATATTTTAAGTGGTATTATAGTGCAACACAGAGCATTACATTAGAATCCTTTATCACAGCAGCAGCAAAACAAGGAAATGAAAGAACGGAAATACGGGAATGCAGGAAATTCTAGATATCCAATACAAATAACAAGAGTACTCTGGACATAAATACTTGCAAAATGAAAAGCTAAACAAGCGTATAATAAAGAGTAACTTTCACATATACAAACACAAAAATTATATTGATATGTAATAACTATAGTTTACATGATTGCGCTTTATAGTAAATTTTATGTTTGCTATGACTATTAATATGTATATTTCGCTATTCATATATACAAAAGAGGCAATTGTATAATTGGTTTTGATATACATATACAAAAGAATCGATTGTATTGTTTGTGTTTGTATAAAGCGAGAAAATATAGAAATACAAAAGAAAAATGGATAGAGAATTGTATAATCATAAGTATATAGGACAAAAATATATGTATTTGTATTTGTATATACAGTTTTCTCTCGGTTTATACAAGCACAAACACAATGTATACATGTGTGTTTGTATAAAGTGAGAGACACTAGTGAAACTGGCGGTGAGATCTGAGAGAGGGGAATAAAAATATATGTATATATACAATTTTCTCTGGCTTTATACAAACATTTTATATATTTGTGTTTGTACAAAAGCGAGAGAGGCGAGGGAGAGACTGCCCAGAATGGTGAGAGAGATTCACCAGGAACAGAGATGAAATAGCAACAGTTTGCTACAGGATACAATTAAACCAAACTGTGGTTATGACATTTAATTTGAATAAGTACAATTTTCCAATATTAACCCTCTCCACCCTGCCCATTTGTTATAATCTTTTTGGCCCAATCAGTACATAGCCCATGGGCTGAGCCCAGCTGATTAGAGAAAATTGAGGGAGCCGAGCTAGTTTTGAAGTAGTAGTGCAATTGTTTTGTATAACGAAAACGCATGCTCACTTAGTCATTTTCCCTATTTCGATATGAGTAATATTGCAGCTTAGAGTACATTTCATGAAGATTTGAATTTAAATTACTTAAAAGAAATTAATCTAATCCAGTTTAGTAATTAAAATTTTCAAATCGACTATGGAAACTAAGAGTCAATGCATACGAACCTTGACTCATAGATAATTTTTTCTAGGACACGGGAAGTGTAGAACAATGTCAGAGACTACCCAATGTGAGAACAATAAAATTGACTTTTAAGTCAATCCAAATATCTTTTAACTTCTTCGATCCTAACGGTTCAAGTTTCTTGTTCTCAACATATCCCTTTCAAAAATATTTACCACTAATTCACTAGCTATTTGCTTAGTTACATTAGTTATGAATTTAATCATCGAATCAAATAAACATTATGTCGAGATACCTAGAAAGTGAAAATGTTTTGCATCCTTATTTCCACTTCTCCATTCCCAAATAATTTTAACCAATTATACATGATGATAAATTATTAAGAGTAATTATAAGATAATGTATTTATATCCTTCGTAATTTTAATAATTAATAAAAAAATGACAAGTACATTCAACTTATGTTCGAAATTTTAGAGACACACTTATTCTATATTAAAATTTTATTACTCCTCTAAACTTGTTTTATAAGTAATTTTCTACACTTTTCGATTTATGTGGCACTAGTTTTAAAAAAAGTCAATCAACACTGAGCCCACAAGATAGTGTCACGTCGTCTAAAAAGGGTAGAAAATTATTACTTGACACCATTTGACCAGCACGAAATTTGAGAAATAAATGAAAACTTTGAATTGTTTACCAAATTGTCCTTCAAAAGTAGATTCGGTAAAATAGGAATTGTACCTTACCTAGGAAAATGTGAAATTCTTTTTGGAACTGAAAAAAAAATGATGCCACATAAAATGAGATGAAAGGGGAGTAATAAAATAAGTTCAGAGGATAATAAGACCTTAGTATAATATAGTATAAGTGTGTTTTTAAAATTTTAAAAAGGTTAGTTGTGCAAAATTCCATAATTTATTAACAAGCTTACTCTAACAATTAAGTATAATATTTGAAAGAAAAATTTTCTTCTGCTACTATATAACTTTATATTTGTACTGATTTAGAGGGCAAAAAAGTAAACCAACATAAAATTAACTACTAGTACTAAACTAATCAATGAAGTCGAAGCTCTATTTTACATTCGCCGGCGCCGTTCACCAACTGAACATCTTTATTCCGTTTAGTTTCCTTCGGTTTACTGTCAACAGTTCCTAAAGACGAAAAACCTAAAGTCAGTTCCAATTCGACATCTTTAGCTGAATCTTCCACTTCAGCCATACCCGAGCTATCGCATTCCACATTCATAGCCACAGCCGCCGCCGCCGCAGCTTCTTCTTCAGACTGGTGACTCAACGAAGACTCATGGCTCGTAGACCCGTTCATTTTCTCATGGGCCAATTCATCACCCGACCCGGAACATACCGGATTCGAGTTTTTTGCTTTTGTGTTAGCACCTGAGCGCTTGAATCGACATCGGGTCCTGACCCGATGCAGCTCGCTGGACTTGGTAGAGTTTTCATCTTTGTTAATATGCCTAATATCGTAAGGCAATTTCAAAGGAGGACCGTTGTTGTTTACAGCAATTTCAGAAGCTATGGGAGTAATTGGAGTTCCTTTGAGTACCGCCTCCACAGCATTTTGACAAAGCTGCCAATTCCCTGACCATAACAACCCTACCGATCCATAAATCGGGTTCACTATTCTTCCACAAGCCTCATAAAGCAATGACCTAAATATCGCTGCAATTTAAAATAAAAAAGAAAATGTCAATACAAAATTGTACATAGACATGCACTTGAATAATAATACAATTGAAATTGAGTTTACCAGGACGAAGATGATCAGGGCCAGCGTTAATGAGATTCATCAGACCAGCACGGCCGTAAAACTTTGCCAGAAAAACAGTGGCGTTGGACTGAGAATCCGGGGTTTTGATCCATTGAAGACAAGGCCTAATGCTACAACTTTCGCTGCAACCTTTACGAAGAACTCTACAACCATTGCAACTCATACGCATCACTAATTTTGTTAAGTATAGAGAGAAGATATAATTTATGAGTAAGAAATCATGAGACTTATATATAAATAAATAAAAAGTCCCTGGGTTTTTTATTTTAATTATTACTTATGTGAGATTACTAGAGGCGCAGTGGTTTGCCTCAAAAATAAAGATTAGCAGTATAAGTTTTCATTGGAAACCATTTTTCCATATTCTCGGAATAAGGGGATGCACAGCCACCTTTTATTATTGTATAAAAAAGAAAAAAATCATATACTAATATTAAATTGAATCATCATATAGCATAAAAATCATCTTACCCACTCTCGTTCTAGTTACGTGCCTCTCACACCCCAATCACTGTAGTTTACTTGATAATCTTATTGGTAAGTCATTAACATACAAGTGTGATTTAACAAGTCTAAAAACTGTGGAGTTTTTTGTTTGTACAAAATGGTCCAAAAGCAGTTGCCTTCATTTGCTATGAAGCAGGGAATGAGCAAATGGAGAAAAAGGAAAAGACAGGTGGGGATGAGACAGGGAGCATTGGGTTTTGGTGCCATGCAAGTCACAACAAAATATATTGGAAGGATGAAGCGCGTGGATATCACGTGAAAATGTCAGAGTGCGGTCGAATCGCCACATATCCTGGAGAAATGTGGACCCACAAGCACCATTTTGGTGTCCCCAACGTTAAAGCGCTCCCGGTTTACGGGAAAACCGCTTATCAGGGTAAAAAACCGGTAAATAAAATTTGCGGTTCTGTGTGCGGGACCGGGGAAGGTGACTCAACTTAGAAGTCGAGTTACTCATGTTTATCCGTAAAATTAAGAAACTACGTTCTAGTTTTAATTTTTCGCATAATAATATTAAAAAGGAATAATTGTATAGCATAATAAATTAATAATATAAAATAAATATAGTAGCTACCATTTAACTTATTTGCGTTCTATAACAAACTGTTTGTCAGTCTCTTCTTCCTCATATTCTCGTTTTATACAAATTTAAATTATATATAGTTTCTATCTTTTTCGTTTTATACAATTCGATTTAATTGTATATTTCCTGCTCAAGTCTCTTTTGCCTTTCTCTCTTACTCATTTTATACAAATTCAAATTGTATATAATCGCCGTATACACTTATAATTATATAATTTGTTTTACACAATTCTCTACTCGAGTCTCTTTCTTTTTCTCGTTTTATAGACTTCGTCTTCAATTATATATGTATAGCAAATTATACATATATATGTTTACCATGAAGTGCAATCATGCAAATTTTGCTATAACATATAAATATAAATTTTATGTTTGTTATATGTGAAAGTTGTCCTATTAAAAATCATAAAGATTACTATTTTACTGCATTTTACCTATCGTTAATTTGACAACAACACTTAAACATATTATAATCATTTCTCGTACACCCATATGTCTCAACAATTAAATTCACCATGTTGCTATTAAAGAAAGATGGCCGTACGTCTCAACTCTCAACTTATGGTTTGTGAGTATTCCAAGTGAGAAATCACATTTAATTTAATAGACTAATAATTTTAGGCATGGTAGGAAAAATATATTGGCTTTGTACCATGTATCAATTTAGTTATCATCGTGGATTTAATCCATGAATATGCTGCCTTCAAAAGTTGAATTATATGCATAATATGGCCCTTTTTTGAGATTACTCTTTCCTATTACTGTGAACTCAATGCCTAAATTTCTAAATTCAAAATATTTCAATCATTTTCCCCTTTTTTCCTGCTGGCAGATAAAACTGGCCATTTGGGCAAATGCCCCCAAAAGCATTTGCTAACTCAACCTCAAACCAAAACATTTTGTTAACTCAACCTCAAAAGTTAACTTACGAGAAAAGCGTTAGTCAAGACCATGCAAAGAGACAACACATGCACTCAAATGTTGCAAATCCAACGGTGGAAGGAAAGACTAAGATGAGAAGAGATTCAGATTTTCATTCAACATGTGTAGGAATTTATACTGAAATGGCTGTATAAACAAGACCAAAAAAAATCCAAGATAGCTGCTTTTCTCTTCTTTACACATATATATTCGAAATTTCTGCATTTTACTGGCTTCTTTTTTCCCTCTCAGACAAAAACCAAAAATCAAAGCACCTACAAGTACTCCTTCATGATCATAGTGGGCATTCAGTTGTTTGCATGCAATCACAATATCACATTATGGTAATATATGTTGAACTATATGCGCTAATGCTTGGACTGCAACTTGCTACTGTAAAAAAGTTGCGTTAATTGAAACAGATTATTATGTATTCCTTCACCAGCTAATGGCGGAGCTGCAATACAACACATTAGCAACATTCAAAGAGAGCAATAATGTGGCTGAACACAGCAAGAACCTAACCTCTGCTGAAGACAATGCTCACTGCTGCTAAATAGCCATCCGACTTTACTTTTCTTTGTACTGTACTACTTTTAACCTCGAGTTCAGCCTCTATTATGTAACTTCTACTCGCTATCAATAAAAGCTTTGTTTTAGCAACAACAAAAAAAATATATCCTGTACAACACATCTATGCCTTATTCCCCTTCGTTAAACATTCAATCTTTTAGTAAATACATTTTCATCACTCATCTAAATATGTTTCGACTAGGGGTAAAAGATGGACAGTTTGAAGTTAAATTAGACTGTACCAACAATTTTGAAGAGTCCGAGCAACTTAGTATATAATTAAACGCATCTATTGAACTTTACTTCACAAGAGAATGACAACTGAATAAGAAATTTTTGAATTAGATTCATTGGCTAAACAATTTCATGTGATAAAAGATTTGAATATACATGTCTAGCTTTCCTTTTTAATTTATAGGAATTCAAAATTATACTCCAAATTATATCATGAAATTCTTTAGGAAAGAAAACAAGAGAGATTAATTCAATACCACTATAAAACTTATTCTACTTCCAATTGGGACAAGAAATAAACAAAGCAATGCTCGTTCTGGAAGCTCAGGAGTAAATGATACAGCTACATAGATTTCAAAGAAGCTAACACCAAGGTTAAGTTATAATTTTTTAGTATTAACTATGTCGATCCAGTATATGTGAAAAAGATTCTACCTACGAAAAAACAAGAGGGGAGGGAGAAAAGAATACCCTCGCTAAAAGCTGAATAATACACAACGGAGTTGATTCAGGAAGTGGATTGACTTCTCACACTAGGTGGCAGCATTTTACCAGAATCATCCGATGAGGGTGATTTTTCACTAGATTTGCAGACAGCTTCATCAAACTCTTCCTCTGTGTTCATCTTTCTCTTCTTTGCTGCAGATTCAGAATTATTTTTCCCAGTTTCACTGTTTTCCTCTTTCTGCCCACTCTTTTTCTCTTTCCCTTTATCTGGCTGAGGTCCGAAATCCGACACAAATAATGGTGCTTCTCTTCCACTCAACCGACAGAATACTTGTTCAACTGTTTCACTTATTTCCTTCCCTATCCCTTTATTATCCAAAATAAGTTCCCAAACCGATTTGGAGGCTTTTTCAAGCACTGAAGTCCTACATGAAAAATTGGGCAAGCAGAAAATGAAAAATAAATCATTGGCAACCAAAAAAAAAAAGAACAATTTCATAAGGTGAGCACTTATCACTGTACTTATTTTTGGTTTGAGTTCAGCCAGCAAGGTCTGAAGCGTTTAAAATAGGAAAAAGCATTGACACTCTAATTTTATGCAGCTGAAAATTTGTTAATTTTTAAATGAGATGATGTAGCCTGTAGGTGAGATTTTGCTGGAATATGATTCTAGAATAAATTAAGAACAGTGCCAAGCATGTGGAATTTTCAGCATCATCGCATCCTAAGCAGGGTGTGCAGGAGCAATGAGCACCTCCAAGTCCTGGTGAAAGTAAAGGAGCAGATTAAATCTGACTAACTTGGATATTGGACAAGATTCAGTTATCTACCAAATATACACTATAAATAAAATGCTGATTAAGATCACATAATTTTCAAGCTCTAATTATAAAGCATCAACATCTCCAACAACAAATGTCTAATATCAAGATCCTAAAAACCTTTGTAAAAACTTCCATACCAATCAAACGCTTGCTGAGATGTATCACAAGGTCAAGGGACTTCCTTGAAATTCCTTTTTACTCTTCCTATATGTTTAATGCACCCAAAACCCACATTCACATGTACCATCAGAGATATATGTCTGAACTTCTACCAAAATAGTGTATTATAACAACTGTCTCAGTCTCAAGCAAGCTGAGGTCAGGTGAATGAATCCTTAATATGATAAATGCTCAATTTGGGTCGATAATGTTTCATTACTCCGCACTTGAGAAATATCTCAACCGAAATAGTGCAAGCAAAACAAAACACTAAATTTACTGTATGGACCACTTTTTACAGGTATAATAAGACAAAATAATAATTCCCTCAATGTATTTCAATTCAGTATTTTATTTTATTTTTTGATGACCCTAATATCGGGGCAAACTTCCCCTCACCTTGATTGTATTTCAATTCAGTATTCTGAAATGATTATGCACACCAGTCAAAAAACCTTTTATGTGAGCAAATGTACTGGAAGTCAAGAGAATCATCACTGGTACTGATAAGTCATCAAACTAAAAGTTCTTCAACATGCTTCACTTGACTTTTCAACTTAGGTCGACAACTCAATTTCAGGGCCCTAGTGAAGTTGAGAATTAATGCAGCAATTCAGTGTTAGAATGTTTTAAATTCTTTCGATTTGCTATGAAAGATTAATAGTATGGAGTATTCTTCCTTTCATGTATCCTAAAATTTCCTATTTCAAATTATTTGACTCTCCTACAGCGACATAAGAAGTCTCCTATTTTTGTTAATAACTAATTCAGGGTCCTATTGGTCCAACTTTCAACATCTACTTACACTGAGAGGACTTCATTTCAAAAAAGAGTTTTACAAGACATACCTAGGGAGAGTAGCAGTTTATATTTGACCAAATCATTTGAGAACCGCTTTTGCCTATATTAGAGAAACAATTCGTGTTTGGCCAATCTTAATAAAAAGTAATTTAAGCGTCA